TCCTTCAGAAAACTGATTTCTACGTTTTTTCAATCTGTTCTACCAATTTTGCTTTAATGGATAAATGTATTATTTTTTGTAAACCCCCCACCTACCCCCCTCCTTCTTTCTGGATTTGCACTGACACAAAAAAAACCTAATACATACAATTCCTGTAAGTGTTACTGTGAGTACTGTGAGCCCAGGCTGTGCAATGGTGCACCCTCAAGGGGCATAACCATGGCAGCATGGACCCACAAGAAGTGGTTTGATGGATGATGCCGGCAGTACGTCTGCTGGGGATTATTGCAGTGAAAGCAGCATGATATATTTTAAAAGGGACAAGGCGGAAAATTAAAAAGTTCAACTTTAAACGGTCTATGGTAATTATTCCTATACAATAGTATTCAGGCTGAACTCCTGACAAAAGACTAACAGGATTATTCACAAAAGGGGGAAGAGTTTGGAGAAGGCAGGAGATGGGAACAATCTAGAACAACATAGGTGATGTGGAAAAATTCTCAAATTCAGCTCATTTTCCAGTTCAGCTATGTTGTCCTAGATTGTTCCCTTCTCCTGCCTTCTCGAAGCTCTTCACCCTTTTGTGAATAACCCTGTAAATACACAATTAAACACATATGTGAACTCTTTCACCAGCCAAAGGATTCAAAATGAAGCCAGTCTTGGTATTCATACACCCCTGTCTGACAGGACAGCCAGGTCCTTGACCTCTTTGCAGATTACACTGTAGTTAATCAATGCAGCCCAGTCTACAATCCACCCCAGCCTGTGATTGGAAAATAAAGGTGCAGCAGCAAACTTATGAAAACATCTTTCTGTTCTCCTTTAATGAAAACAAAGCAAAAAAACCTGATGGGCTTTAGAGTAGCGCCTCTCCCCCTCCCAGTCTGAATGTTGAGGAAGAAAAGTATAAGAAGCTAATATTAACAGAGATTCAAGTTCTCTTAAAAAATACATCTTATTATTTTTAATGGATACATAACATGCATGATGTCTATTTGCCTGGTCTTGAGCTTTATTTAAAGTGCATCTAATCATAAGAAGTGAAATTAAATATTTTGCTTCTTACCAGTCCTCAGATGTGGCGGCTGCATTTGTTTTTTATGATTTTTTTCCCTTTTTACTTGGTGATCCTACCAGTGACACACTTCCTGTATTAGGGTGACAATGCTTACTCATTTCACTGTATTTATGGAGAGCTTTGTCATGCTAAGAGCGTATAGCAGAATATATGGGAGGGGCTTCTGTAGTTTTGCAGAGAGGACTGGGAACAATGCTAACTAATACCAATGAAAGAGAGGATATTAGCTCACTGGATTACTCGCAGGATCAACAGGCATTTTGCACTTAATGAGCAAATATAACAAATCACTTTTTAGATGTATATTTAACAGACCAAAAGGGAGCAAATAAGGTAAATTCATTGTTAGGTTTTACTTCCAGTTTAAAGAAAATGTAGCGCTCACCCCTGAAGGAGCTGCTGATTGTACCAGGTCCATATCTAGTCAGTCTAGAGGTTGATTTCCAGCTGCACCCATTAGCACTAACCGCCCTCTTCTTGTGCCCATAAATTGATGTCCACTTCAGTTGTATGATGCTAGTTGAACATTTTATTGAACTTCTCATTAGGGAGAGAGGATATTGGGGTTCTAGGTGTCTGGGGGTAACCATCCATAGCTCCAGACTCACCGGATCTTGTATCAAGGGAGTGCATATCCACAATCCAAGAAAGAAACACTGACCCCGCTCTGAAGTCCACATAGATGCAGGGCACTTCAAGAGCCGGCACTGGTCCTGGTTCTTTCCATCTCTCAGGCCTCCTCCATAGTGGAGGCCTCCAAGGAAACTCCTTTCCCCCTCTCAGCCAATGCCCAACCCCAGGCCTTGGCCTGGCCTGAGGGGCAGGACGAACAGGACCCAACCTTAATCCATGGCTGGTCCAGGCAAGAGAGAGCACATGGCAGCTCCCACCAATATATGTAAACTCTGTCAGCAGGCACCACTGGCTGAAAGAAGCCCAGTAATTGGCTGCTGCATTGCACACACACTACAGTGTCACCCATTGGCTGTCCCACAATGTGACAGAGTCTTACTCCGCCCAGTGGGGTACAGACAAGGTTAGACACCTGGGATTAACCATGTACTTGCTGCTACAAATCCAGCCAGGCTGTCTACAGCCCTGGCATATCACTAAATACATAGCAGGCACCTCACAAAAGGTGATGGGCGCTACAAAAATTTGGTAGAAGTCCTGTAAAAAAAAAAAGTAGATCTCACAATTCTCTGTCAACACTGTGAAGAACTATACCCATCTATTAACAATTATTCTGATCAATGGTGATTAATTTAGCTGTCGAAGTCATGTGACCCGCCAGAAAATAAACTAGGCCGCTCTTCTGACAGCCGGGGCACTTCCGTTGATGATAACGGGTTATGCGGATAATCCAATGTTGAAAAGTGAGCGTCATTAAACCTTACATGAGAATGGCAGCATGTTTCCACAGCGCCAGCAAGAATTCTCAGCCACAAATATGAAGCTGTGACACAGCCCTATTAATACCTCACTATCAGAAACATTGGCTGCACCTAATGAGGTCTGCCAGGCTGACGGTTCCTCCATCTACAATCAGGAAAAGACAGCTTTCCATGCATAATCAGTAGACAAATCACACAGGTCAAAGGTCTACCTGTTAAGAGGATACGATCAGCTCAAAATCGACAATGTTTTTCCTGCTTTATTTTATTAAATGTAGTTTTACATTGCTTGCGGGAAAAATGTCCTGATTACATTGGAAAAATATAATCGCACACTTTTAACTAGAGAAGTAAGCTCCTTGTTTTATCCAGCAGAGAAAGGGTTCTGTGAAATGTCATTCAACCTTACTGAAAGAAAAAGCAGGTATATTACACCTAATGCTGAGATCCATGGGAATAAAGGAGTACCAGACAAAGTATTCCAGGTTTACTCAATCATTTACAAAAACGTGTCTGTGAAAGCAGCATACCGTATATACTCGAGTATAAGCCGTCCCGAATATAAGCCGAGGTACCTAATTTTACCACAAAAAACTGGGAAAAATATTGACTCGAGTATAAGCCGAGGGTGGGAAATGAGGCAGCTACTGGTAAATGTACAAAATGAAGATAGATACCAATAAAATTACATGAATATTTATTTAAAAGAAAAACAATAACCTAGCTCTGTTGAGTGGAAAGGGGGCACAGGGCTACATATCATGTACTACGGATCATTTAACCCATTCATATTAGCAGAGGATAATTGTAAATCTATTGTTCAGTGCATTCTATATGTAGTATATAGTACATGTACATATAGAGTGCCTGCAGCCAGGGGCGTATTTACCGCGAGGCAAAGTAGGCATGGGTTAAATGATCC